CTGATTCCTGCTTCTGGCTTAGGAATATAAGGATCAGACTTGGGCCATGCTTTCTGTGGCCATGAGGAGCCTTTGCCAAGTGTTCTGGGTTCCTCACTGCAGCTGTAATCAAAATTCCAAAGGGAAAAATCTGTTCTGAGTAATTTTATTAAGAAATACACTCCCAAGCTGGCTTTTTCACACTTTCGTCTGATTTTCACTACTGCTCTGGCCTAAAACAAAGAAAGATGCATGGACAGGGCTTCTATTTATTAATTTATTTATTTGTAATTAAATTCAACTGAAGTGACAAACTTTTAAAAGCCCAGGGATAAAGTGATTAAGCATCTAAAAATCTTGCCCTTCCATGGCACAGGACTTCAATGTCATTTCAGATTTCTGCTTTTTCAGCTTATTACAAGCAGTTAAATGTTTTGCATCTCAAACACCCATGTGTTTGATCTCTCCCCTTGTACTCCAGTCCTGCAGCTTCCTGTGCTGAAGGAAGCATGAGGTCTGCACCTCCAAGAGACTGGTACGTCTGGGATCAGGGAAATGGCAGTTTGACTGAACTCAGACACAGCAAAACACAAGACAAGCTGCTGTCCAGCTCATTTCTTGCCTGTCACAATTCCCAGTCCTGTTTTTCACTTTGTTCTGATCACATTACATGAGCTATCAAAGTTACGTCCTTGGAGAGACACAAAAAGGGGAATGAGCACAAAGTGCAACTACAACTGAAGTGTTTTCCCAGATAGTGAACGTTAAAGATGAAACAAGGAGGCACAGGTATCACTGACTTTGATGGAAGGACATAATTTCATGAAAAAGTAACTTCCAATTCACTGCTCCTAAACAGCCTCTGAAGCCAACAAGATGAGTTAGCCATTTGTCACACTGTGGTTTCCCATAAGCTACAGAGGAGGGATTTATGAACATTCAGCCTTCCATAGTGATCAGTGAAACATCCCCAGTGCACTCACCCCAGTTCATCCCGTAGTGGAACATGTAGGTGTGTACACTTAGACTATTCTGTCATTCTCCAATAGTCAAAAGGAGAAAGAAAGCATTTCCTAAATTTCTTCAGAGCTTTTGAGAAAAAAGCAGCACTTGAGACGTTTGCTCAGTTAAGATAACTGAGTACTGTAAATACACAAAAGCAGCAGTGCCTGAGTGTGCTTCATGCATCTGCAGGCTGAAAGAAACTAGGGGAGCCTGGAGCAGTACAACCAGGACATTTCTGATTATTCCCAGAAAGATCACATAGACTTTTAACCTCACTGGAAACAACTTGTTTCATAGAAAACACTCATGAAGTACCATGCATTTCTCAGACTGTTTATTTTCTTGTCCTCCTGACTTCACTGCTTGCCTCCTCCAATTAAAAGCAGACCTGCCTCATCAATTAGATGGGAAGAACAACTAACACCCAAAGAACTTAAAAAATGGGGCCCTTAACAAGCATTGGAGAATTCAACAAGATGCCTCAATAGCAGCTGATTTTATAGGGCTCTCCGCCATTACTGAGTGATTTCAATGAACTTCTATTACTGAAAGTCACAGATTTCACCCCAACCAGGGGGCTTTCCTGCTGCCCTACAGGCACAGGAATGCTCTGTGGGGGGACTCACTGCTGCCAGATGATTTTCAGGTTCGGGGGCAGCTCTGCGGCCGCGAGTTCATCGATCTTGGTGCCGTCTTTCATGGGGGTGCAGTAGAAGCCCAGCACATCCCCGGCGCAGCACATGCGATGCAGCTGCGAGTTGGGGACAGCGTGCCCCAGCTCTGCCGCCAGCCGGGCCAGCAGGCGATACTTCAGCCTGTTCTCCTGCAGGGGAGCCTGCTGCCAGTCGTCGGGAACAGAGGGCCCAAAGACCTCCCTGACGTGGCCCTCGAGGCAGCTCTGCAGGTCCTCAGGAGGGACGTAGCTCCGGCGGAGTGGCGGGGGCTGGATCAGGCTGGGCTCGCTGCTCTCCTCCTTCTCAGGAACTGCTCGGTCTGCTTCCACTTCTCCCTCCTCCTTCCTGCTGGCACCAGAACACATGTTCAGCCTCTGGGCTACACAAGACAGAGTCAGAGCATTTTTGTACCCGTGGTGTTTTAAACCACTCAGTCCAGGCACTCCACATATCCCACGGACTCATCAGGTCTGTTACCAGAAGTGCACAGGCTTTCCCCAAGTGCTGCTCCCCACACAGGCTGCCTCTGCAGAGCAATCACACCCCCCAACCTTATTTCATTGCTCTGAGTGAAAGCAGGATTTTAACAAGATTAGTTACTTGTTTTCTGTTACAAACCCATTTTCTAATTTGCTGTGAATAAAAACCATTTCAGAAAATAACCACTCCTACTGAAGAAAATCAGTGCTCATATGTAAAAAAAAATAATTATTAGTTTTAAGACAAAAATTTACCTTCTCATATGCCCCAATCTAGTCAACAACCCATGTATGGTTTCACGCAAAATGTTACAGAGGAACTGTTTCTCATTCCTGCGAAAACCCTTCCCACTCCTAACAAAAGCAGTAACAGCTCTAAAGGCTCCAACCCTGCACCGCCAGTAGTGCACCTCGGTGGGCGCTGGTTGCCCAGAGAACCTGAGGAGCCTCCTTCCCTAAGAACACTCCAAAGCCTCCTGGACAAACCCTGAGGGCCTTGCTCAGGGGATGCCAGGCTAAATGACCTACAGAGGGCCACGGCCCGGTGAAGGCCCAGCATGACGAGAAGGCCAGACGCCACCCCCACCCTCTGCCCTGCGGGTACCTGCGGCCGCCCCAGAACGCCCTGAGCCCCACAGGGCCGAGCTGCGGCCTCCGCCGCGCCGCCACCCACAGCGCCCGCACCGCCGCCATGCTGGGAGCGCGCCGGGCGCTGCCGCCGCCGCCGCGGTGACGCATTTCTGCCGCGCCCCGCAAAGCCTCCTGGGAAAGGTAGTCCATTCCCTCAAGCCTGCGCCCTCGCTGGGAAGTCGAATGTGTGGAAATTCCCTTCAGAAAAGCCGTTCTTTGATGTCTGGTCTTTGCGTGCTTTCAGGCCTAATCGACAGGAAAGACCATTTTGTCCGTGTAACAGAAACTAGTCAACAAGCTCTAAGTGATGGCCAGGCCTTTGAAAGGCAGGTTACTTCTTGGCTGAATTGCCTTGTTGAGGTGTAGGGCTTGACAGGCTTCAGTTACCTCAGACACAGGCGAGGTTAGCAAGTCTTGGAAAGTAGGATGTACCACTGATGGTGGACACAAAGAATGGAGAATTTATGGGCACAAGGATATTTGGGAGAACCCCCAAGGAAAGGAATAAACTGATAAAGCCAATGCAGCAGCTGTGCTGGATCAGCTCCGGTGGGGCAAAAGGTAATTCCAATACGGTCATCAACTCATGGCCACCAGTTTAAGAAACCACTGACTGAGCATGCAGACTAATTAGCATGAGAACCAAGAGGATCATTAACTGACAGCAAACAGAATACTAATTATTATGAAAACTAGATAACTTGTAGTCATTGAATATTAATTCCTTTGTTTACTAATATATATAAATAGGGGGAAAATTTTGTCATCTTGATGGTGGTTTATAAAAAAGAGGGAGAGAGACTTTCTGCACAGACAGATGGTGACAGGATAAGTGGGATGGTTTTAAACTAAAAAAGGGAAGGGTAGATAGTTGGAATAAATTCTTTGCTGTGAAGGCAGTGAGGCCTTAACACAGGTTGCCCAAAGAAGCTGGGAACGCCCTATCCCTGGAAATGTTCAAGGCCAGGTTTGGACAGGGCTCAGAGCAACCTGTTCCAGTGGAAGCTGTCCCTGCCCATGGCAGGGAGGTTGGAACTAGATGGGTTGAAAAATATAATTGTTTGGGTCATTTCTAATGCAAATGATTCTGAGATTAATCTTCGATCAGAATATCAGTAGGGTGCTGTCATGTGGGGACCCAGAGGACCACAGCTGAAGCAGGAAGGAGGTGTTATTCCTGACACTAACATCAGACTCTGGAGTGTTTTTTGGCAAATCACTTGCTCTTTGTTCATTGTCAGGATAAACTAAATGCAGACCTTAATTATGCAGTGACTAGATCCACATGAAGGATTTTGGTTGTTTATTTATTGCCTGTGTGACACATTGGTTATTAACTCAAGAGGCCATGAGGAGGTGGTTACAGGCCAATGATTTTGCCTGTTTTCCCTGTATTTGTTGGCAGGAGCAGCGAGTGCCAGTGGCCAGGAGGAGCAGCCAACAGAGAGAGGTGACCCTGCAAAGGTGTGGAGTCCTCTGGGTGACCTGGCCCTGGCTGCTTAGGGGGCTGCTCCAAGGCCTCATGGGTTGATTGGTGTAGCACGTAGCCAGGCAAATATTCTTACATAAACCTAGGCCTGCTGTTTTTGCCATTTATGCCTTTTTTTCATGACCATCTGACTAGCTTTTGCTAACAAAGCTTACACCTTTAAAAGGGATAGAGCAATGTGCCAAAGGTCGAACCATGTGTCTGCAACATCAGCCTCATTACTCAAGCTACGCAACAGGTACACCAAGATGCCTTCATGCGTGCTTTTCGTTAATTATTGTGGAAAATGCCACCGTAAAGGTGGTTTGTGAGGACAGACTTTGCACAGCCCTGACTCAATGTGTGCAACACTAACACAGTGTTTACCAGCCTCCTCTCACCAGAAATGGCTCTCCAGAGTCATGAGATGCATCTGAGGGTATTATTGTTTATCTGTGACCTGACTCCCCAGCGCTGCTTGCTGGCTACATCTCCCAAATGTTGTAGTGTCTGCCAGACTTCTGTGGCAGTATTAACCTCTCCAGCTGTGCCACTATTGGGTTATTTCCCTTTGATACCCTCAGAGTTTCCCAAACTCACCAGCTGCAACACTTTGTCACTCAATCTTTTAAAGGACCACAAAAACCCACAAATACGTGGAAGATATTATGAAGTTTACACAAACAAAAAGAATTGTGAGGTACAGATTAGTTTTCAATTACTGTTTTATTGACATGATTGAATACACAGTCAGGTTTTATAATTCAGGATTGTGGCTGCTAAGTGTGGTAATGGGCAAGGGTAGCTACTTGAATTGCTAGGGAACTACTAAATCTGCCTGCTATTCCAGGGGTTGAGTTTCAGACTGAGGGAGGGTGGGTTCATGATTCATTGGCAGCTGTTTGTTGTTTGGAAAAAATTCCCTTTCCTTGGAACGTGCAAATGAAAAAAAAATATCCCCTTGGTATATTGTGGGAGTGAAGGGTGGAGAGGAAGCTAAGCCATTCTATCTCCAGTTTGGCGTAGGGTAAGGGAAATTAGATTTCTATATTTTTCTTTCATTTCTGAACATCTTCCACTCTGTGAGAAGGGACAAGAGGAAGGAAGGTTCCTGCTGTTTCAGTAGGTGTAGCTGGCAGTGAACAGTGACTGTGTGGCAGCTGTGTCATTCTTCCCAGACTGGACATATTGCCCCCTGCAAGCCAAACTGTTAATCTGAAAAAGAAAGGGGGGAAAAAATGAGGGAGAAACAATCAGCAGCATGGAGTAGGAAAAGCCGGTGTACAGAACAGCCAGCAGAAATAACAGAATAGTGCCCTGGGTGAACATGAAGTGCCAGGAAGGGTAGGATCAAGAGCAGCCTTACGAGGGTGACAAGTCACCTTCATGGTGACAGCTCTTCTCTCTGCTCAGGGGAAGCCTCGTACCTGTGCCCGCTTGCGGAAGGCCTCTTGAGCAGCCTTCTTGTTCTCATTTTTGCCCAACCATGCAGCCAGGGCAGAGGCTTGCAGGGCTCTCCCATAGGAAAAGGTCAATTTCCAAGGCTTAGGAAGAGGGCACTGATTCATGGCATTCAGGTTGAGAGAAGCCTCCTCTTCACTCTGACCTCCAGACAGGAAGCAGATTCCTGCAAGAAAGCGGTTTTGAGGCTTAGAAATACAAAGTTCTGGCCACCTCAATCCCTAATCTTTACTTGCCAGAGGAGCAGGCCTGTCAGACGTAGGAGAGAGAGTGGGAATGGAGAGATAGGAATGAATCAGGAATCACCAGGAACAGCAGCAGGAACGGTGCGGAGGAGAGTAGTGACAGTTGCTATGGCTACATCCTGAGGGGTGTACTTCTTGGAGCAGGAATGCCCAGCCGTCACCATGTTGGGTTTCAGCAGTGTCCCCTCTAGGTACACGTGATGATCATTCAGAGCCTTGTAGACAGCAGCCAGAACCTGAAAATGGGAGGATTGAATACAGACCTCTGCTCAGATCTTCACCTCAGGCTGCTTGGAAAGACAGCTTGTTATTTGGTAGTGTAGCAAAATTGAATTGAATTTTGCTTTCTCATGAAATTTATTTCTAGGGTTGCAGTTGTGGAGGCCCCACTGCTTTTGAGATTACCAGGATACAACTATGTATATTTAACGGATTTGTCCTTGCTGAAATTGAGGTAATTTGGTTTGGTCCCGATTCTTCTTTTTGAGATTGAGAATGCTTATATTGTTATTGAAGTGAAAATCCAAAAGCATGGAAAATACTCTTGGATTTCCTTTTAGTTATGTGCCTAGGAGCAGCTCATTTTTGTCATGCAGTTATGAAGACCATTTTTGGTCAAATCACTTTAAGATCTGTGAGCACAAACTGCACAAAATTTAACTGCAGGTTTGTGAGAGGGAGCACAGAGGGAGGAATCTCTTCTTACCTTCTCTGTGACATACTGACAGCGCTGAAGATCATGGTCTCCATCAGGCAGGACTTCTGGCTCCACAATGGGCACCAAGCCATGCTAGGAAAAGAAAGACAGGGGATTCTTTAGGGCTATGGAAGTAAAACTGTTATTTTTGTTTGTCCTGACTTTGGTGGTATTCCTTCATGCTGTGCTGCCCTTCCTCCTTGTCTTTCCCAAAACCCTCACAGGGACTCTCCTTTCAAGCTACCTAGTGTATTATCACAGGGAACAGGGAGAAGGGACAGCAACATCTCAGGAAAGGCTGCTGGAGGGGAGGTACCTGCTGGCAGATACTGGCATAGCGTGCCAATGTGTTGGCATTCTCTTGGATGGCAAGTTGAGAGGGTGTTGTGCTGGAGATCTTCAGCACTGCACGCCACTTGCCAAAGTCAACACCATCTTTCTTGTACTGGGCACAGCGCTCAGCCAGCCCATCCAGCCCTGCAGAGGAGAATAATGCTTCACTGAGAGCTGCTCTTCAGCATGGAGATCTGGAAAGTACTGTGACTTCAGCCAAGGCTGCATCTCAGGTAAGTCATCCTATGGATTTTGCTGCCTGGGCCATAGCTTAGGCTCCTTGGGCCTCTCCTTACCTTGGATGGTGGTTTCTCCATTTGTTCCTGCTAGAGGTGCTGTGCCTTTATCCAGCTGTGGAGGTCAGAAAAACAGGAAAAGTTACAGAAAGGTGAGAATTAGGCTATTTCTTACATTCCTACCCATGTCTGGTCTGTCTTTGAAGGCAGACTGTTACTAATGTGTGGACCTTAACATGTTTGGGGTGCAAAGGAAGGAAATGTTGGAGCAAAGGGGAATAAAAAGGAGTGAACTGGGTAAGAGGAGGAGTAGTGTGTATACAGATGCCTCCAGGGAATGGCTCAAGAACTTTATTAGATGTGGAAAGAGTTAGGTTTAGATTACTGCATGGAGAGACTTATTTGCAGTGAATGGTGAGTAGGTAAGAGTTGGTGTATGAAAAGTTCCAGCATCTAGTTCCAGAAAATGTGTCTCTAGTTAGTTGTACAAAAGCAATGCAGAGAATTTTAAAACCAAGGACAAAAATGAGGGGGGAGGGGGCAGTGTTTTTCAGAAGACACTGCAGCCCCATTTATCATTTTCTCTGAAAATGAGATTTGGGTTATTGTGCCAGCCCAACACATACAGATACTCACCTTAATTCCC